AAACTTATCAGCCAATTTCTCAGCAGAGACCCTGGAGGCCAGGAGAGAGTTGGGTGATATAGTCCAGGGGCTGAAAGAAGGAAACTGTCAATAAAGGATACTTTACTTAGGAAAGTTATCTTTCAGAAATGAAGGTGAGATAAAGACTTTCCCAAACAAACATAAACTGAGGGAATTCATCACCACTAGACATGCTTCACAAGACATTCTGAAAGGAGTTCTTTGAGCTGAAATAAAAGGATGCTAATTAGTAATATGAAAACGTATGAAAATATACACTACACTGATAAGGCAAGCATATAGTCAGATTCAGAATACTCTAAACTGTAATATGGTGGTGTGTTTATTATTTAACACTAGCATAAAGGTTAAAGAACATTAGTATTAAAAACAGCTATAGGTACAATAATTTGCTAATGTATACACAATATAAAAAGATGTAAATTATGACATCAAAAACGTAAAAGGGATAAGTAAAAGGGTAGTGTTTTCTATGTGATTGAAGTTAAATGTTAAATTGTTACAAGCATAAAATGGACTGTTTTATACATATATATTATGTATGTATATATGATGTTTTGTGCATGCCTCATGGTAACCACAAAGCAAAAACAGATTAACAAAAGATAAAGAGAAGGGAATCAAAATACACCACTACAGAAAATCATCAGTTCACAAAGGAAGGCAGTGAGAGAGAAGAAAGGAATGAGGGAACTACAAAACATCTAGAAAACAATTAATAAAATGGCAATAGTAAGTCCTTACCTATCAAAATTACTCAAAATGTACATGGATTGAATTCTCCAATCAAAAGACATACAGTGGCTGGCTGGATTAAAAAAACTAGGCCAAAATATATGCTACCTACGAAAGACTCATTTCAGCTATAAGGACACATACAGGCTCAAAGTGAAGGGATGGAAAAAGGTATCCCATGCCAGTGGAAACCAAAAGAGAGAAGAGGTAGCTATACTTACATGAGACAAAACAGACTTTAAGCCAGAAATGGTAACAAGAGACAAAAAGCTCATTATATAATAATAAAGGGGCCAATTCATCAAGAAGATATAACAATCATAAATATATATGTGCCAAACATTGGAGCAATGAAATATATAAAGCAGATATTAACAGACCGGAAGAGAGAAATAGACAATCCAATCCAATCTAGTAAGGGAATTCAATACCCTACTTTCAACAATGGATAGATCATCTAATCAGAAAAAAAACAAGGAAATGTTGGACTTGAACCAAACTTTAGACCAAATGGACCTAACAGACATATCTAGAACATCTCATCCAACAGCAGCAGAATACACATTCTTCTCAAGAGCACATGGAACACTCTCCAGTCTAGATTATACAAAAGGTCACAGAACAAGTCTTAGCAAATTTAGGAATATTGAAACAGAATTGTGAGCCCAGAAATAAACTCTCGCATATACAGTCAACTAATATTTGACAAGGGAGTCAAGAATACTAAGTAGTGAAAAGGATAGTGTCTTCAATATATGGTGTTGGGAAAACTGCATAACCACATGGAGAGGGGTGAAATTGGACCCCTATCTTACATCGCAAACAAAAATCAACTCCAAATTGGTTAGAGACTCAAACATAAGATCAGAAATTGTAAAAGTCCTAGAGGAAAACAGGGAATAAGCTTCTTGACTTTGGTCTTGGCAATGATTTTTTGCATAGGACACCAAAAGCAGAAGCAAGAAAAGCAAAATCAATAAGTGAGACTATGTCAAACTAAAAAGCTTCTGCACAGCAAAGGGAACCATCAACAAAATGAAAATGCAACCATCAGAATGAGAGAAGATATTTGCAAATCACATCTGATAAGGAATTAATATTCAAAATATATAAAGAACTCAACAGCAACAAAACAAACAATCTAATTAAAAACTAGGCAGAGAATGTGAATAGACATTTTTCCAAAGAAGACACACAAATGGCCAAAAGGCATATGAAAACATGCTTGATGTCACTAATAATCAGAGAAACGCAAATCAAAACCACAGCGAGATGTCACCTCACACCTGTTAGAATGGCTATCACCAAAAAGGCAAGAAGAGATAAGTGTTGGCAGGGATGTGGAGAAAAGGGAAACCCTGTACACTGCTGGTGGGAATGTAAACCAGTACAGCCACTATGGAAAATAGTATGGAGATTCCTCAAAAAATTAAAAATAGAAATACCATATGATCCAGCAATCTCGTTTCTGGGTATCTATCAAAAGGAAATGAAAACAGGATCTTGAAGAGGTATGGGGACTCCCATGTTCACTGCAGCATCATTCACAATGGCCAAGATATGGACACAACGTAAGTGCCTGTCGATGGATGAATGGATAAAGAAGATTTGGTATATCTATCCAATGGAATACTATTCAGCCATGAGAAAGAAGGAAATCCTACCAGGTGGGATAACATGGGTGAAACTTGAGGGCATTACGCTCAGTGAAATAATTCAGATAGAGAAAGACAAATACTGGATGATCTCGCATGTGGAATCTAAAAAAGTGAAACTCACAGAAACAGAGAGTAGAGTGGTGGTTGCCAGGGGCTGGGGGCTGGGGAAATGGGGAGATGTTGGTCAAAGGGATCAACTTCCAGTTAGAAGATGAACTTCTAACAAACTTCCAGTTAGAAGATGAGTAAGTTCTGGGGATCTAATGTGCAGCATGGTGACTATAGTTAATAATACCGTGTTACATAGTTGAAAATTGCTAAGAGAGAAGATCTTGAGGGTTCTCGCCACAAAAAAGAAGTGGTGATTCTGTGATGTGATGGAGGTGTTAGCTAACGCTAGGGTGGTGATCACGTTGCCATATAGAAGTGTATCAAATCAACACCTTGTGATCCTTAACGTTACCCATGTTATATGTCACTTACAGCTCAAGAAAGCTGAAATAAAGATGTCTCTTTGGGTAGGTTGTTTGTCTTCTCTGAATCTCAGATTTTTAATTTCAGATTCTTCATCTAGAAAATGGAGAGTTATTTTTATCATTATTATGGACATTTACGTAGCACTTAATGTGTCCCAGGCATAGTTTTATTCACTTTACATATATTAATCCATTTAATCCTTACAATAACGCTTGGGGAGTAGACACTGTTATTATCCTCATTTTACACCCAGAGGTTATACATAACTCAGCTTAGGACATAGCTTGTGAGGGGCAGAACTGGGCTTGATCCCAGAGAGTCTGGAGAAAACAGTTCCTACTGTGCTCCCCCCATGGGGAGGTTGTGAGGGCCTCGTGAAGGCTCCTTCCCTCACTCGCTCACTCGCTCTCTCATTCATTCTTCGCTGACTCTTACCCACCTCAGAGGGCTGTTGTGATATTAGTGTATTGGTTTACGTAAAGCATTCAAACTGGGCGAGGTGTGTGGGAGCGGCTCTGGAAGTGTCTGGTTGCTGGGACAAGCCTGTGGCTAGCCCAGGCAGGGTGGCCCCTGAGGAGGCCAGTTCCAGTGTTGAGAGTACAACACAGTCCCCGGGGCAATAAGGACCGCCAAGGCCTAGGCCCCGAGGAGGCTCCAGGAGGAAGTGGTCAGGGTGCCGTGGACCTAGAGAGAGGAACACAAGTGAGTCAGCAGGAATCAGAGGCAGCCTTTTCAGAGGAGGTAGGAGACCTGCCAGATAAACACACCACCAGCAAACCCTCAACGGGCGCTCAGCGTGTACCAGGCCCCTTGTAGGCGCTCTACACACATCAGTACATTCACTCCTCCCAGGTGGCATCATCACCACCCCCCTGTACACGTGAGGAAACTGAGGCAGAGAGGGTTTGGGAAACTTGCCCCGGTCACAGAGCCCACACAGCACAGAGTAGAGAAGCTTCTTTGGTTCACACACCCACCGCCATCACAATTCCGTCAAATCTGTGCACTTGCTGGTATTACTATTTACTTAATATTTAAATTAACTCATTTTTGACCTAAATAAATAATGCTTTATTTTACCATAGTCCTTGGAAAATTTGTATGGATAGAAACAAATACCATGAAAGTAAACAATATGATTAAATCCTCTCCAGATTCAACTACCTGCTAAGGGCTTTCAATTGACTCAAGGCCTGTTCTGTTAAAGGGGAGGTGAGCAAGTGATAGAGAGGAATTGAAAATGTGTTAGTACCCAACTGGGGCTTTCTCACTGGTGTAATCACAGGGATTGAAAGAGAAGTAAAAAGGGAGTAACTTTCTCACCATGCGATAAAGTGATTTAAGGACCTACCCTTGCGTCCCCTAAAATCTCACCTAGGGAAACTAAGGCAGTGGTCAAGAGCACGGCCCGGGAAGGCAGACCACTATACTTCCCCACCTGCTGGCTATCCTGCCCTGGGCGCGTAATCCCTCTAAACGCTGGTTTCCTCTTTGGTAAAGTAGTTGTTACTTCGTAGGGACCTTGACTACAAATGAAAGAATGAAGGTAAAGCACAAAATCTACTACATAGTAAACGCCGATAAACATAAACCATGTCATTTTCATTACTATTATTAAGCTTTGCATACAAGTCCCTGGTCTTTTTAAAATTTATTTTTTGTTAGATAATAATAATCATTACAGTAAACACATAAAGGTTACTATGTGCTGGTCTCTGTTTTGGGTTTTACGTACAGTCTTCCATATATATATATATCCCGATATATACATGGTATAATACACAATATATATGCACATATGTTAACTATTATTATCCCTAGTTAATCTTTATGATAATTTATTCTTGTCCCTAGGCCCCCACTGATGAAGTTTTTGCTCTAAGGGACGCAAAGTCGGCCCACTGGAGGTTCCTGCGGGGCAGACGCCCGCACACGCCAGGAGCCCCCCCAGGCTGACAGGTGGAGCGGCAGCCGCCCCGCCCAGCCCAGCCCAGATCCGGCCTCAGCGTGGGCTCGTGGCCCCGCCTCCGACGCACACCGCCCCAAGTGGGCCCCGCCCCGCCGGGCGCTGCTCAGCCGGCGCTCTGACGTCACGGGGCCTGCGACGCCTGCGCCTCTGGCGCCTGCGCGGCGGGCGGAAGGTCGTCCGTGTGACCGGCCCGGCTTCTCAGCTGCTGTCGCCATGTTGTCGGTCGCCGCCCGCTCGGGCCCGTTCGCGCCGGTGCTGTCGGCCACGTCGCGCGGGGTGGCGGGTGCGCTGCGGCCCCTGGTGCAGGCCGCGGTGACCCCGGCCCCGGAGCCGCCGGTGCTGGACGTGAAGCGGCCCTTCCGGTGCCGCGAGTCGCTGAGCGGCCAGGCGGCGGGCCGGCCTCTGGTCGCCTCCGTGGGCCTCAACGGTGAGCCGGCTGGGCGGCCGCGGGCTGCGGCCTGTACCGCTCGCTCCGCCCGCCTGGGGAGTCCCGGGGTCCGCGGTCTCGGGGACGGGGAGGCGGCGCGCCGTGCGGGGCGGGCCGACCTTGGGCCTCTGTCCTCCCGGGCCTCCGCGTCCTGGCCCGGCGTTGGCAGCCTCTGTGGGCGTCCCCGCCGCGCGGCCCGGCGGGCTGGTGCCCTGTCCTCGGCGGCCTCGGCGTCCCCCGCTGGGCGGTGCGCTAACGGCCGCCCAGTCTCGGGCTTCCGCCGCGGGGCTCAGGTGGCGGAGTTCTGCCTAACGCCGTTGGCACGCGTCGGGGCGCTTCACGGATGCTCGGAAAAGAGGAGCTGCTGTTCACGTTCGGGAGCTTGCCCGGATCGGCACCACCGATCCCTCCAGCGCTCTTCACCACCCACCCACCCACCGCCGCGGCACAAGCCCGGGCTCAGTGTAGCGGAGGGCAGGGCAGGGCCTCCAGGCCCGGGGGCAGCGGGGGCCCGAGTCAGCGTCGTCCTCAGGGAGAGAGGGGGCGGCGGTGGACGGTGCTGGGAGATGAGACGCCGGGCGTGGGGACGCGCGCCGCGGGCTCCCGCCGGGAGTGTTTCCCGCCTCTGTCGGCGGATCCCCTTTCTCTCCTGTGCTTTGCCTTCCGCTTCTCTTCTCATGCCTGGTATTGGAGACCCAGAATTGGCAGCCTGCGGGCCGCTGTGCTTGTTGTCTGCACGAGCTGCGTGGTTTTCGAAACTGGGAAGATTTGTGGCCTCTTGAAATGCGGGAAACCGGTGACCCTGGGCTCTAGTTTCTCCGTGGACAAGGCTCGTGTCCCGTGCATCGGCCGCCCTGAGCTGGAGCAAGTGCTCTTCCCGTTCCTCGCAGGCCTGCTGGATTCCCTGTTCACCTGCCTGGCCCCGTGGGCAGTTGAGTGGTGACGCTTGCCCTACATACTGACCAGCTGCCCCCCTCTTATTCTGTCTTCATTCACCCAGTTCTCTTTAAATGATCCTCCTCAGGTTTCCACGTTTCCAGGTATCACCCATCTTTTCAATCTCAGTTCAGGATCAGGTCAATAAAATTATGTTTTTGCTGATTCCTTTGTTTTATAGCACATAACATTTTCCATTTCTATTGCATTTACTGGTGATTTCCTCTGAATTTGAGCTGTAGGGTGCACAGACTATTTCCTTTAGTTTTCTATCTCCCACAACCTCGGATTTTGCATACAGTGGTGCAAAATATTTGCGAATGAATGAAGTGGTGATTTTTTTGTTAGAGGGCAGCAGTGGGTTTTGGAGAGACTGTTCAGGGCAGAACAGTGCCCTAGCCCACTGCAAGCCTATTTTTCAGACCTGGAGGTGAGAAACAGTAAGGGAGGAGAAAATGTCGATGGCAAAGTGAAAAGTATCTTTGGAATTTTTCAAGTGCCTAAAGAGTTTCTTCTAAAAATTGGAGCCTTACCTGGTTTTTCCAAGAACTGGTAAATAATCTGGAACCATAAGGCAAACCTCTTTTCTGTAATGCCTTCTGCTTGTAGCTTAAGTTCACTTCAAAATCTGTCTGGGTGGTTTGTGGAAAGCTGGGTAGCAGAGGGTGTGGGATAGAAAGGGTTGCATCAGATCGCTCAGTTGGGGAGGAGGGTTTCCAGAGTACATCAGAGCTCGCTGTAAAACAAAGCAAAATGAACAAAAACCTGTTTTGTTATATTGCCTTAAATTGTCTCTATTTCTAGATGGTATTTCTCTAAGTATCTGATTTTGCTTTAGTTCAGAACTGAATCTAGCTGGCATCTTTGTTGCTGAAAGTTACACCTAATACAGTTCATGTAAATTATTGAATGTTTTTTGCATTATTTGGAAAAATAAACTGGAAAATGCAGTTTAATTTTCCAAAGTGGTGGTGGTGATGTAGCTCAATATAAAGTGTAGCCTGCTAGATAGAATGGGTGTAGACAACTGGATTTCTTTTGCCACCTAATTTCTGGACGAAATGTCAGAGGTCTTCTATTTAGTGTTCCTGTACATTTCCTTGTGTGCTGTTGTATGGCTGAGGGTTGTAGATACTGTGTTTAGTGTAGAAATATGAACTTTGGTTCCTTCATCTTTCAGGTATGATACAGATCTTTCCTGTATAATCCCAGACGACGCTAAGGGAAAAGAATCATCCTTGATCCCAAGCCCCAGTCCCCACTGACACGTCAGCATGAGGTAGAGGCAGGGTAGTCCGTAATGTAATGTCACTTTGCCGTACTTGTGAATCTCAGATAGTCACGGCCTCTGTCCTGGTTTCCTCCAAAAAATCTTGGGTTAGTTAGAAAAGTACTTGGAGTGGTTTTGATAGGTTTGACCATCGTTTATGAACCCTTCTGGCTTCATAAAGGTATGACTTTGAGAACGATGGGAAGTAGTTGATGTATTCTTTATTGTAATGGTGGCCGCTCACAGAAGTCAGTTAGGATGAGACGGCCTGGGAGACCAAGTTAGAATCGCAGCTTAGATGAAAATGCATTTTATAAGTACGTTTTTTTTTTTTTTTGGAAACAACACGTTTTCTAAAAGTGAGGAATTTTTAATGTCCCTTTTTCTAAAAAGGAAACCTTGTGGCAAATTTCCTAAAATGAGAATACAATTTGCAGAGATTTGCTTCCTGAAATATACTTAAAAGTGATACCAGTGAGCTGGTTTTTTGTCAGACATTTAAAAATGGAATAGGACAGAAGGACATATCTGTTTTTTTAAAAAAATGGACTACTTGCATCCAAAGTACCAGATAAACAATGATTGTTTAACGTTTGCCACAAACATCTGGCCTGTTATGGCCTGCGGTAGTACTGGCCCAGCTGAGAGACCCACAGCAGTGAAAAAGAAAGATAAGGATGCCCCTGCTCCTCTAGAAGCTATTGCCCTTCACTGAGAAGGGGAGTCATGAAATTTTTTCTCTTTTTTGTTCCTGTACTAAATTGAAGTAATTGGTTCTTTTGGAAATTTCGTTTGATCTTGGTAGGTGCCTATTCTGATGCGGATGTCCTTTTCTGCCCATTAGTTAAAGTAATACTGATTTATACGTCAGTCTGAAATAGAAATCTTTAATTTTTCTGCAGCTAAAGTTACGCTAACAGTTCACAGAATGTTATTTATTCTGTAGTGCGTCTTGTATGGATTTTTAGCCGTTCTTCCAGAGAGCAGGTAGATAGGAGTGTAACCTTCGGCATTTGCTTTAATAAATGATCACTCATCAGCTTATTAGGTGGGCTAGATGAGTTTTAGGGTCTCTTCTAACCCAGAGAATATGGGAGGTATAAGCATGATTGTATAGTGTGTCTTGGCAGCGTGGATTTTTGGGAACTTTAAACTGTTGCTGTTCGCAGTGGTATTTGTTTGATGCAACTGAATGGTTGTGAATCCTGAATCAATAGTGTTCAATCAGAAGGAACTCAGTCTACAATATTGTCTTATGATTTCATACCATTATGATAGGTGTGGTTGACTCCGTTTTTAGTATTTTGTATGCTGGCGCTGCCAACTTGACTATTTCCGAGACCACTGAGTGCCATATTTTACATTTTTATAATTTGAGTTTTTGTTTTGAATGCGTAAAGCTGTGTTTCCTGATGTATACACACCCCCTCAGGGTGGTCATCTAATTGTGTTTTTTAACCTTTGTTTATCTTGCAGTCCCTGCTTCTGTTCGTTATTCCCATACAGACATCAGAGTGCCTGACTTCTCTGACTATCGGCGCCCGGAAGTGTTAGACAGTACCAAGTCTTCAAAGGCGAGCAGCGAGGCGAGAAAGGGCTTCTCCTACCTGGTAACAGCGACAACTACTGTGGGTGTTGCATATGCCGCCAAGAATGTCGTCTCCCAGTTTGTTTCCAGCATGAGTGCTTCTGCGGATGTGTTGGCCATGTCGAAAATCGAAATCAAGTTATCTGATATTCCGGAAGGCAAGAACATGGCTTTCAAGTGGAGAGGCAAACCCCTGTTTGTGCGCCATAGAACCAAGAAGGAGATCGACCAGGAAGCAGCAGTGGAAATGTCCCAGTTGAGGGACCCACAGCATGATTTAGAACGAGTAAAGAAGCCAGAGTGGGTTATCCTGATAGGTGTTTGCACTCATCTTGGCTGTGTACCCATTGCAAATGCAGGAGATTTCGGTGGTTATTACTGCCCTTGCCATGGGTCACACTATGATGCGTCTGGCAGGATCAGGAAGGGGCCTGCGCCTCTCAACCTTGAAGTTCCCTCATATGAGTTCACCGGTGATGATTTGGTGATTGTTGGTTAGAGACCTGGACTCAAGTCATAGGCTTCTCTCAGTCTTCCTAGCACCTCAGAAGAGTTATTCGAGAGCAAGCCTTCTGCACTTCAACTTGCTTGATTTGAAGTAGTTAAGAATTGCTAATAATGTATTTGCAAACATTAATGTGAAGTAAATTGGATTCTTTCAATCATTCACCTAATAAAACCACTGTTAAACATTGTTATGCTCAGAGACTTGAAAGATGCAGTGTCTTTGTTAGTTAATTCTAATTAAAAGTTACAGATTGGTGTACAGGGTATTTGTGGAATCTGTAATTTCTCGTTTATTTACCTTCTTTATGTCAGGGACATGGATTCTACAGAGCTCCTGGTTAGGATGAGGTAGAACTAGCTGGGCATCTCCAGGTCCTGGGAGATGTTTGTGGCATTGTCAGAAACGGTAGTATCCAGGTTTCCCTTATTTCGCACGTGAGTCCTGGCTCTGTGTCTGCGTGCCCCCCCACCACCACATCCCCCCCACCCCTGGTGTCATTTGTCTGACGGTGTTGACTTGTCTCTGGGAAAGCCTCCTGAGTGAGGGGTTAGCAGCTTTCAGGGTAGCCCAAGCTCTAGCTGGCTGATAGCCCTGGGACAGATCAGGAAGTTCTATTCATCACCCATGGGGGAAGTTAGTAGTTAGAATTCTTTACTTTTGAGAGGCAGTGGTGGAATATCTGAGAAGTTTCCAAAATGGGAGTGCCCTTTCCTTCATCTGGGGTGGGGATTTGTGTCCCTAATGCATCTGCCTTACCAAGAGGCAGACAGAGTGATGCATCTGAGTCTGGAGGCTGTCTGAAAATGATCCCGCTGGTCCCGGTTCTGTAATGATTACGCTTTGAGGTGTTTCTTCCAGTTGGGTTTGCAGTCACTCACTACTGTTCACTGTGGAGTGAGGGTGGGCACAGGGAGACGGCAGAATTCACACTTGCTTTCTGCCTCCTGCCTCCTGTCTCTAGTCACACAGGTGAAGTGAGACCAAGACCTGACAGGCTCCCTGGGAACTGGGAGTGGGCTTTGCCCTCTGGAGAATTGTGGCTACTTTGATAGGTTTGTCTTGTTTTACTGCTTGGACGTGGATCAGCAATGTACTCCACTGGGGCCACCTTGTGATCACAGGTGCGTTTGTAAAATAGCCAACTAGATTAAGTGGTTGGGTCTTCGAAAGGGAACTGGCCATTGAGGGTTCTGGTCTTTTTTATTTTATTTGAGGAAGATTAGCCCTGAACTAACTACTGCCAGTCCTCCTCTTTTTGCTGAGGAAGACTGGCCCTGAGCTACCATCCATGCCCATCTTCCTCTACTTTATATGTGGGACGCCTGCCACAGCATGGCATGCCAAGCGGTGCCATGTCCACACATTGGATCTGAACCGGTGAACCCTGGGGCACCGAGAAGCGGAACGTGCACACTTAACCGCTGCGCCACTGGGCTGGCCCCAAGGGTTCCAGTCTTTAAGTCAGTAGTTAATGTATCAAAAAAAGAAAATGTTGAAGTTTTGTGCTTATGAGCAGATATTAGTCTTTGGTTTATTTTTACCATTCTAGAAAGAAAATTAGCAGATGTGAAAAATGGGGCACATAACAAGAGTACTTTATGTTCCAGGTCTCTAGATAATGACATTTAGGTGCAAATATTTAAGTGTGAATATGAGACCAAAAGTACCAAACATTACTACTTTTTGGTATGTTCTCTATTTTAAATGGAGCGCTTTCTGATCTTTTGAGCATATGTAGATTAACAAGGAAAAGTTGGTGTTCTTGAACTTAAAAGTCATGAAATACTAGATATAAACATTATAGGTGCACAGTATTTGGTGTCAACATTTGGAGCATCTCACATGAAGTCCCTGTCACCCCAAGAGAAGTTGCTGTATATTTTTGGATATTTTGTTTATTATTGTGGAGATTCTGTTTTTCTAATATTCATGGGGAAAATCATCTTAGACTTTTCTTTTGCTCATGCCAATTTTTCGTGGTGCTAGTTGCCCACAACTTATCGTTTAAAACTATACCAACATATCTTATAAGCTGACAAATTTTGAGGTCGAGTTGTAAGTGGCTACTTTTTTTTTTAATGGCACCCGGAGCTGTTGATCACTTCTTCAGGATATACTAATGTAGGAACTTTGCTGGTATATATTTTTCATCCATAAAATTCTTGCTTGGAGCAACTTAATGGGATGATAAGTAAAAATGCAAATTTTAATTTGAGGGTGTTATTAAACCTCAAAGCATTGTTGAAGGAATCCTTACAACCCAGCAAATCCAGCTGACTGTTCTTTTGTCATCCTATGCAAATTTTAAAGTACTTTTGTTCCTTTGGACCTAATTGAAGTTGCTGAGCTGCTAACACATCCATGGAGGGTAGCATGAGTCGGGGGCGTGGTGTAGTGGTGGAAGTACTGGACTAGAATTTAGGGCGTTAATTCTGGCTTTGCCATTTCCTAGCTGTGGAACCATGGGCCTGTCGCTTAACCTCCCCTGGACGTCTGTTTTCCCATCCTTAAAATCGGGACTGTCGGACTAGATGATTTCTCAGAGTCCTTCCAATGTTAGGATTCTCTGAGCCCCTCAACCCCACCCCAGTAATGGGAATGAGTTTTCTTTGATAAGTGTTTGTTGTTGTTTCCAGTTTTTGGTATTATAATAAAGAGATCCAAACTCGGGAGTGGTGGTATCTTAATCAGCTGAGCCAACCTTTCCCAATAGGGCAGCCCGGCTACTCTCGGGGTGTTTGTGGGCATTGTTTCATCCTCATGATGATTGGAGGGTGCTGCTGGTGTTGAGGGGAGCAGGGATGAAAAATCTTCAGTTGTGAGGGGGGCACAGGTCCACACCCTAAGAAGTGCTTGTCAAGTGTCAATAGCACCACTTCCTGTACGCTGAAGTGATACCTCAATATAGTTCATAGTTTTATATTTGAAATGCCAAAACACGGCTGTCTTAGAGGCTACATGGCAATGGCAGACTCAGGCAGGTTGCACGTCCCTGGAAGTATCGGGCGTTCTGTGCTGGAATTGCTGTATTTGGTGGGCTGCTTATGTCTTTCATGCCATTTTGACTGATGATGTTAAACTGATAAATCCTAGTACCCCATTTATTTTTAAATTGTACCCCATTTAGTTTTTTGTTCCACAAGTGACAGGACGAGTAAAATTACTACATGCTACTTTGCTAAATGGATAGAGCAGGGCTATGTTAGCTTTTTGATGATTTTACTGAAACAAGATCTTAGATATTAGGGGGAAATGACTTAAGAAAAATAGAAGAAATATGACCCATTGACATCTTGACATCAGATCATTAACGTGTTTTTACTGGGAATAAAGATTGGGACAATCTTGGGATCCATGACTTTTCAGCATGCTTTAAAAGAGGGTTATAGAAAATGGCCTTTTAAAAAAATTTTGCAGGGGCTGGCCCTGTGGCCAAGTGGTTAAGTTTGTGCGCTCCACTTCAGTGGCCCAGGGTTTCACCGGTTTGGATCCTGGGTGTGGACATGGGCACCGCTCACCAGGTCATTTTGAGGCGGTGTCCCATATAGCACAACCAGAGGCACTCGACTAGAATATACAACTACGTACCAGGGGCTTTGAGGAGAAGAAGAAGAAGAAGAAGAAGAAGAAGAAGAAGAAGAAAGATTGGCAACAGATGTTAGCACAGGTGCCAATCATTTAAAAAAAAAAATTGCAATGTCTGTTAGAAGTAACACCAAATTTACTTTGGTTTTTCTGAGCATACCTTCATAAAATCTATGACTCAATCTGAGGGTGTAGAGGGAGGGCATTTTTCCTTACTTGATATTTATGGCTTGGGATCAAAATGTGCTATCGGTACCCTAATTTTTCTGAACAATGGGAACATGCTATTTATCTGGATGTCAGGTCATTCTTAATTCCCACAGTGCTGAAACTGTCATTTTCTGAATTTTCATGTCATTTGAATATTATTGCTGTTTATATATTAACCCACATACATGTTCATATTTCTCAGAATGATATCGTTGGCCCACTGTTCTAACACACTTTCATTATTGCTCATTGCTTCCCTAGATCACTTCCCTGAGCTTCATGCTCACATCCACCTGCTGCCTGGGCATCTGTGTGGATGTTGCATTAACACCTTAAACTCAACATGTGCAAAAGGAAGTCATCTCTGTTTTCCATGAGCCATCTTCTTTATTGCTGTTAGTAGCCTTCCCATCTACCTGCTAACCTGCTTGGCAGGTAAAAACCTCTAGTCTTTGCTGCCTCCTTTCTCATTACTCCCTCCCCCTGGGCTCAAGTCAATCTCAAAACCCTGCTCATTGGACCTCCTTAATAAAACAGGTCCCTTACTGTCTCTGCAAGCTGTAGCACTCCAATAATGACAGACTTTGAGCACTGACTCCTGGCCACGAGGCCAAGTGTACTTTGTGTATATGATTTCATTTAATCCTCAAAAAATCCAGTCAGATAGGTAATATTGCTATTCCTGGTTTATAGATAGAGAAACTGAGGCACATAGAAGTCCTTTGCCTACAGTCATATAGCTGGTAGGTTGGTGGAGCCAAAATTTTATTTTAATCCAGAGAGTCTGAGTCCAGAGCCTATAATCCTGATCGCCAACCTGTCTTTAATTGGGGCCTCGTCAGTTCTTGCCTGGTCTACTGCAGCAAGATTCCATACAGGTCTGTCTGCTTTCCTCCAATCCTGTCCCCTTAAAACCCTCCACATAATTGCTAAGTAGTGTAGAGCTTAAGAGTATGAGCTTCGTTCCTGGGTTCCAGTCCTGGCGCTGCTGTGTCCTAGATATGTGACCCGACATGAATCAATCTCTTTGTCCCTCTCTTCCCCATTTGAAAACTCATACCCTCCCAGGGTTTCTTTAGGAATTAGTGCATTATCGTTGGTCAGGGATGCCTTCAAAACTTCTTGATGTGGAACCTCCTAACAAGGTCCTCCTTGCCTGCATCCCGTCAGTAAACCCTTTGCTCCAGAACCACAGAATTTGCTGCCTGCTCCCTGCGTTCTCCTTGTTCTCTCTGTCTCTTCCCACACTCGCCTCGCCTGGTTCGCTCTCCTTTTGCTTGTCTTAGCTGGATTGTCCTCTGCCTGCCCTTCAAGACTGCTTAGGTGTGGCACCTGCACCCAAGTCACATCCACTTTTCCAGCAAGTCTCCCCCGAACAGCCAGCCGTATCCATTTAGATATTTCTATTCTCCTCTGTTGTGAAGTCCACTCCTGGTTTGTCTGCCCACCGCCAGGCCGAGGGGGCTGTGC